GGATTGAATTGACTGAGCACTAGAAATGATAAAAATACTGTGTATGAAATTAAATTTTGTAACATGTCGCATCCACAAAAAAAGTTTCTCCTTTAACTCTATTTATATTAGGGATGAATTCTATTCTGTAAATCGTATTAGTGTAATGAATAAAAGGAAATGAAAAAGGAAAAAAAGTACGAAAAATGTTTATTGTCTTGCACAGCTTTCAATGCTCATGTCAAATGATACATTTTAATGCTGCTTCAGCATGCAAAAACCATTGAAATGGGATGATAAAAATAATAATTTTCAGGAACTAATTTCTATTAAGTGAAAATGAATGTACTCACATGTAGATTACACATATTTTATGGATCGCAATTATACTCATACAGTTATATGTTGCTGGAGAGGAATTTTCGTTCAATAAATGGAAGAGACAGTGGGAAATTTATAGTAAATGACATGAATGCTAAATACTGAGCGCACTTCTTTGTAGGAGCAAAAAATATTTTTTTTTTGAAGTAAAACGTTTGGGATTTCCCTACAAGCTCAAATTACATTTTAAAGTTCTGAATTAAAAAACCCCAAAATGTAAAAACTTGAGGAGCTGTTATTGCTTTCTAAAGTTCATCTTGTTGTCAAAAAAGCTCATTAAGCTATCAAAAAAGCTCATCTAGCTTTCAAAAAAGCTCATCTAGCTTTCAAAAAAGCTCATCTAGCTTTCAAAAAAGCTCATTAAGCTTTCAAAAAAGCTCATCTAGCTTTCAAAAAGCTCATCTAGCTTTCAAAAAAGCTAATTCAGCTATCAAAAAGCTCACCAAGTTTTCAAAAAGCTCATCTAGCTCTCAAAAACTTCATCCAGCTATCAAAAAATTCATACAGCTCTTAAAAAGCTTACCAAGCTTTCAAAAAGCTAATTTATGTTTTTAAAAGCTCATTTAGAACTTAAAAGCTCAAATATTTTTTAACAATCAATTATCCAAAAAGCTTTAATTGTTGTCAAAAAGCTTAAGTTGGTCAACATAGTTTGAACTGTTTCCTAAATTCTAGACTATAACTTCAATTTCTTTTTTAAATGACAACCGTTTAAGATCCACTTTATTCTTTCCATCTTAATATCAACAAAGCCAACCAATTCACAAAGTTAAACATTCAGTTCCTTTACAAATTATATCGTCTACTGCACAAAACCGTCACTTAAGCAAAATTGCTTCAAAAATCCCTCAGAAAACCGTTTTAAAAATTTATCATCCAATCTCTTCTTACCTTTCTTAGCAGGTCTGTCTGCAAAACTATTCTCGACAAAAATGACACAAAAAGGTTGATCCATTCAACTTATTATATGAGAAAAATACGCTAAGAATGAGTTGCACAGTACCTTTTATGCTATTAAATTCAACGAGTATCACGAATAATAGTAATTGCAATGAAAAAGCTTTTACGTGAATGTATTCGCTTCTCATTGTAGTTGGTAAGGAAAAAAAGCTAATCATTGCAATTACAACTTTTACCATATTAAAGGAAATTCTTGTATTAGCATCTTTCGGGGAACTGAGAGAAATAAAACCAGCAAGGAAGTAATTAATTAAGTGGAATTGAAGCGCATCATCTAGTTTAGATTTAGGAATCAAAAGAGTGTCTGACATTTCGGAATTAAATTTTTGAGACAAAGCTTAGAGGCGGTGGGTCTTAAAAACTATTTTGTTCCTTGAGAAACCATACTAGTGGACAGACAGACAGAAATCACTTGACATTCTCAATGGTAAAATCCACTAAAAGGAATAAGGGGAAATAAAATGAAGTAAAACACAAACCAACTAATGAATGGGAGGGTAAAATTGTGGCAAGGAAATACCAAAAGCTAAAAATTCACATCTTTTGAATTACAATCTTATAAAGTTCCTTTACTTTTCTTTAAAGCCAACGGAGACTGAATTGTACGTTCATGAATTTTAAGAATAAAATAAAGAGAAACTCATTCGTATCTGTACTGTATGATGAAGGAAGTTTGAAAGTTTTTGCTTTTCTGTGTGCATTTTTTTTTTATATATATTCAATGAGTTGTGTTTTTAAAAGAGCACATAGAGAGAAAAAGAAAAGTTATGTTGCAGGCAATCGGGAAGAAACAAAAAAAAACTTTTTCATTGAAAGATTCTAAAGAAGAAGTTAGAATTTTAATTTTTCGCACTGCTACCGAGCGTATAAGTTAAGAAGCAGTACTTTGACTCAGTTATTTATTCAATTAGTTCTTATGAGACTCAAGGAATCGATTGTCATGTATTGTTGATGTGGGATCTTTGGTCGGAAAAGTCAAGTTTTGTTGATATCCTTCTTGATTTTCTTAAAGGTTGTTGATTCTCGCCTCAAATGTGACTTATTATAAAGTTTCAAACACATCCTGTGAAGAACAATCAAAGATATAGCCCAAATTCTTGTGATCATAACCTTTTTGTCAAATTATTCAGAAACTTGACTACAGAAATGCTTCTTATTTATACAGATTCAATAACTTTACGACTTCTTCTTTACTTCTTTTCTGATTTTAAGAACTTTTGAAGAGGAAACAGTCGGTAATGTTTGTACTTTGTCTGATAGTCGATGAAACGTTTGTTGTTGTGAATTGTTTGAGACTCATAATACTCTGGTTGTCTCAGATAACTACTAGCTATGAGCCAGTGTATCCAGTGTCAAGGTACGTGCATGGACATATTAAAAAATTCGCTCTAGAAACACAACAATGATCAATCAGACACTAGTTTGTTTTGAAAAAAATCCAATTTAACTAAGGGATCGTTCACTTATGACGTCCGAAAATAACGGTCATTTTTCAAAAGAGAACAATGGATTTTCAGGAATTTCTATTGTTCTTTTCTTGCTGAACCCCCCCCCCCCCCCCTGGACGTCATAAGTGAACGGCCCCTAAGGACACCTGCATTTGATGTTTTACAGGATCTTAAGCCTCTAAAATGCGCTTTCAAGTTCCGTCTCAATAATCTTAATCACTAGTTCTGCTTTATTTGTGCAACGCTTCTTTTTAAAAATATATTTTTGTATTTTGCTTTTTTATTTCTGTGCTTCTGAGTAGGTGAAGAACAAGAACACGATTTTTATAAAACTTTTATGCTTCACAACTTTTTTTCTTGTTCTTCTTTTCTCACATACACTCCATTTAACCGCAAAACTTTAATTGAATAAAGGCGATAAAAAGCATTTTGCAACCTTTATGCAGAAACTATGAACAGATGACAAAAGGAAGCGACTCTTTTCATGCGACAAATATTCAAAATGTAGATCCTTTAAGCATATTTCATCACAATCATAGATATAAGTGACAAAAAAAAGATTCTTTTTTTCTCTACTTTTTCATTTCCATCTCAACAACTTGTTGCTCTTCTTTTTCCTACCATGAATTATTTAAATCGATTTCAATCCCTTATCCTTTGCTGTTTACTCCATATCTACGTTTGTTCCATCTCTTCCCTTGTCACATCTTACAGCTTTTTTTTTGATTGCAGTATAATTTGCTTTGATTTGCATTTTGGCATGGCTGAAATGATGATCTGGATTCTTTGGAGGATTAAGGTGGATTGGAATTGCTTGTAAATGATATAAAATACTTCTTTCTTGCATAGTTTGACTATGTAGTTTGTGGTTGAACTTTACATGATGTAATGGAATTTAAGAACAGTTTTAGCATCAGCTTGAATAGCAAAAGCATTAACAATGAGACGTTACTTTTGAAACATCTAGAAGGAAGAAGCAAACTTCTAGATGACAAAACCACAGAAAAAAGTATAACTCCGAATAACGGATTTCGAGCGGGACTCGAACCCACGTCCTACAATTTCCATCGCATGCTCCTTCCACTGAGCTATCGGGGGTTAGAATACTATATGGCTACATCCCATGTATAAGTTACACTCTTTTTTACTGTTCCCTTGTACCACATGATTTATCGTTGATTGGCTATTACATGAAATCGCATATTCCAACAGTTACAAGGTCATAGATGCTGGAGAAGATCATGTCAAAATGATGTTGTTCATTTATCAAAATAAGTTTATATACTAAAACTTGCCTGAAATAGATTTCGTTGGATCGAACCAAACATCCAGAAAGGAATCAAGTATCAAATGCTGTAAATCTGCGTCTCTAAACAATTTACATCACACAATTCCATACTAGCTTCCTGAACCTCCAATGACAAATTATATTCTCGGTCCCATAATACGAGTTAAATTTTTTATAGCACATAAAGGTGTATAGACATCCACACCGGTACTCATTCCTGAAATATTGACTCATGCTCTGCCAGATTTAATGTTGATGAAGGTAATGATGAGATGAAACAAGAGAAAATTTTTGTCTCGGTCTCGGTCAATAAAAGTTGCTACTTTAGTGTGTCGATGTGTTCAGTAGATATGCTTCCAAACATATAATGGAAAAATCTTTTTCTTCTTTCATCTTTTTTTGCTCCTTTTTATCAAAGTCTCTCTTTCGAAATTGTATCCTTCAACCCTCTTTTCATGTTTTAAGGGCGATGATATCTTTCCAGGTTTCCTTTTACACAATGAGAAGTTTTTAATAAATGAATTGTTAATGAGATCATTCTGAGATTACTTAATTAAAATTAATTAGATTAAAACCTTTGTGCTACATGTTTTAGTAACTGTAATTTGAATCATGATAATCTACCTCTTAAAATCAAAGGAAAATGCATTTAATCACGTTAATCTAGGTTCAATGATTTAATCGTTTAATTACAAAGTGATATTGTGTACAATACTTGCATGCAACTCTTTTAACGGCAAAAAAGTTTTTGAATTTTGAAGGGAAAGAAGCTCCATCTGTATGTGAAAAAAGTTTCTTCGATATTCTTCATTACCTTAGCTATTTAACACTTAATTACTTTATATTTTTATTCTTACAACAATTGATTAACCACGTATCACTGTTTTTTCAATTTAATCAACTGAAAATACATATCAACTGCCAACAGAGATTTGAAATTTCGCGCACTTTATCAACTCAATTCGTAAACAAAAAAAATGTCTTACTTAAGATTAATTTCAAAGAATTATCCATTATTAATTACTAGAACATGTAATCAGATATTGAAAAGGAACAATGGATTCATTGTGCTGTAAGTAATCTTAAAAACTATTTGGTGTATTACATCATAATCAATAAATGGTTGGTTTTATGATTATAATTTTATCAAATTTATTTTAGAGTTCCGGAAATTGGTGAGGAGAATTACAGCCCAATTGGACAGCATGAACTTCCAGAATTCAATAATTTCACAATCGAAAAGTGTATTAGTGCTGTTGGAAATCAAGGATTAGCAATTGAGAAAAGTCTCAAGATACTGGAAGATGAAATTACATCGAAAGCAGACATAACCGATATTTTTAAGGAAGTACTCGATCCGATTGAGGAAATTACAACGGGTTTAGAAAATACATGGGGTCTAGCAAAGACTCTATACTTAGGCAACAGTAGTTTAATGCCAACCAAAAGTTACCTCACAATTCACGATCGTGCGTGTCGTGTACGTGCTCAAAAGTTTAATAGCCTTCCTGTCTATTATTCTATCAAGAGAGCAGCTAAAAGTGAAGCACAGCCATATGATGATCAGCAAAAACGACTCATACAGAAGTTCCTCCTTGAAGGACGACTTAATGGAATTGAAGTTGACGGTGCACAAAAGTTCCAACTTAATGATCACATTATCAAATTGAGTGAGAATCGTGCCAAGTTTCACAATAATGTAGAAGCTAGTAGACGAGCATTTCAGCAAAATTGCAACGATCCAAACATAATTAAAGAACTTCCAGTAAGTCTCTTGGAAATGCTGTCTGTAGACCGCAATCAACCAGCAACAAAAGGTCCATGGAAATTGTCACTTCAGCCATACATCATCAAGTCATTCCTCGAATTCTGTCCTGATCATAATGTTCGTTGGAATGTATGGCAAGCTGATGTCCGAAAATGTTCACGTCAAGCAGATAGGCAATATGATAACAGTGTATTTTTAGAAGAAATTCGTTTCTCACGTCGTCAACAAGCCAAGATTTTAGGATATGAATCATACATGGACATGTCAATGGAAACTAAAATGGCTGGATCAGTTCATAATGTTAAGGATGTCCTGACTCGTTTACGTGAGAGTGCTAAACCAGCACAAGATGCAGAAATTGCAAGCTTGCAGACATTTGCTGAAAAAATTGGATATCATAGGAAGTTGGAAATTCAGGATATTTCATATTATAGACGCAAGCAATTGATTGACTTGTATGACTTTAATGAGGACGTCATTCAAGAATATTTCCCATTAAATAAAGTTTTTAAGAACATGCTTAAATTATCTGAAAATCTATTCAACATTAAAGTCATTGAACGTCCAGCAGTAAATAAATGGCATGAAGATGTTAAATTCTTTGAAGTCTTTGACTTACAAGACGGAAAAGAGCCACTTGGTGGTTTTTATGTTGACTTATATGCACGAGATGAGGAAAAGACAATTGCAGCAGTAAATACTGGCTGGATGGTTAAAATGAGAAGTAAAAGTGAATTGACAAATACGAGACCATTGCTGGCTATAATCTTCAATTTCAAGCAAATCGCTGAAAAGTCTGTCTTACTGAATTCAACGGATGTCCACAACTTATTCAGCAAATTTGGATTGACATTACAGAACATAATTTGTAATTCACGATACAATGAGCTGTCAGGCTCATCAAATGTCGAGTGGGATGCGGTTGATGTGGTTGGAAATGTCATGCGTAATTTGCTGAATGATACAGAAATCCTTAAATCGATTACAGCGCATTATTCAAATGAAGATCCATTGCCTGAAAAATATATAACTGCATTTCTGCAAAATCAAAAACATCTTGCTGGATTTAATTTGTGTCGTCAATTGTACTTCTCGGATTTGGACGTGGAATTGAATACGAAGAAAGATTTCTGGTGGGATATTGTGAAGGAATTATATCCAAAATATCACTCAGTGGAACTAGACAAGAAGGATTCACATCCATGCTCATTTACACCAATCTTTTCTGGTGAATGGGGTGGTGCTTATTATAGTAATGTCTGGTCAGAGTTGATTGCTGCTGACGTCTATTCAGCATTTTGGGAAGCACGAAAATCACAGAATCCAGATGACTTTGCTGAGGTTGGTAAACGATTTAGGTCTACATTCTTAACATGTGGTGGAACTCTCCAAACGAATGAAGTGTTTAGACGCTTCAGAGGACGTGATCCATCGCCAAAAGCACTTCTTCATAACTTGGGATTGAGTAGTCCTGAATTGAAGAAATAGAAATTTTAGAAATTCGTTTTTTGTGTTAAAAAGTTGGAAATTTGTAAAGAAATATATAACTACGACCTGAGAAATGATCAATAAATATTATTTTGCCTTTAGTAGATATTAATTGACTTGTTTTTGCTGCTTTTTAAGGAATCTTAGTGATCGTGAGAGATCGAAGTTTCAAGCCCCGCGCTTAAAAACGTGGAAAATTTTTATTAAATTAATTAAACAGTTTCCAAGTCGTTATTAGTTGAGAAAAACTTCTTATTAAGTGCCAAGGGTTGTGTTTTCCTCAAGGAAAATGAGGAAAGTCAAAAGAAAGCAAGATTTGTCGCCAAAAATTGATTTGGACGAAAGTTCAATTAAATCTAATGAAAATTCCAAGAAGAGGAAGCAATCGCCTCAGAAAGAGGAATCATCGGTTCCAGTCACAACAACAACTTCAGTCAAGCCAATATTTGTGCAATGCAGTCTCAAGGATGTGAGAAAATTAATCTCACTATTGAAATTGCAGGTTATGCCTGCATATAAAATTTCATCATCAAATACAACTCAAGTAATTGTCAAGTCTATTGAGGATAAGGCCTCAATAATAAATCTTCTGCGGTCTCAAACTATTCAATTCCACACCTTCTCCGAGAAATCGGAGAAAACAAAGTCATTCGTTCTGAAAGGATTTTACGAAACACCAACGAATGAAGTACTAAGATTACTTCAAGAAGCCAAGGTATCAGCTGTCAAAGTGACAATTCTCGTCAAGAAGCCCGAGTTCACCTTTTATCTTGTGCATTTTCAAGATGAAAGTGTGAACATCAACGTGCTCAATCATAACCACCGTAACATCGACAACATCATCGTCAAGTGGGAGAACATCAAGAAGGGCAACAAAAGCCCAACGCAGTGCTTCAACTGCCAACGTTGGGGTCATTCATCTCAAAATTGTGGATATAAATTCCGATGCGTCAAGTGCACGGAAGTTCACGGACCAAATCAATGTCAACGATCCGCTCGTGATGGAAATGCTAAGTGCATTAATTGCAATGGCGATCATGCTGCCAGTTATAGACTGTGCCCATCGTTCATTACGTATTCCAAAAGAATCGAAAAGTCAAGAGCCAAACCACAACTCAAAATGCTGCCACAGATATCAAGTCTTTTGGACAGTAAAAATTTTCCACCGTTAAGCAAACGACATCAAGTTTCTGCTCATTCACATCCAGTGAATGCTGCAAGTAACTCATCAGCAACTTTTCAAGAAGAGATTAATCAGCAACAACTGATCAATAATATCAGTTATGCAGAGAAACTCAACGGAGCAGTAAAGAATGAAAGCCTTTTCAAGAAATTCACAGAAGCTCAAGAACGTCTAAAGAGAATCCCCAACATTGAAGAAGCAATAAATCAGTTCTGCAGTTTCGTAGACGAAGTCGGAAAGATCCCAAAGGATACACCTCAAGGAACTGCATTTAAACTCATGGTGAAGTATGGCTTCATGAGCTGCCCTCCAGCACCAAACAAGCCAGTTCAAAAATAATTTATTAACGTAGTTCATAAGCTTAAAAAAAAGCTTTTTTTTTTTTTTTTTTTTCTCGCTCGACAACTTTTTTTAAACTTTTTATGCCACATTTTCATGATATATGTAAATCTCATTCATCAAAATTAATAATTAATCAAGATATAGTTGAATTAAAGCCATATTCAGGCTGGTGTCAAAATAAGACTCAAAGAAATGTAACTTAAACTACAATAATTCCAAATTTGAAATAAAGAAAGATTTACAATTTAATGATCGTGGATTTTTAACGGATTTTTCAAATTTAAATTTTCAACAGATTTTGAAAATTTGACGAAAGCTTCAACGAAGATTTTTGAATTTTAGCGTTATTTTACAGATTTTTTCACTAAAATGGTTTAATAAGCAGCACAACACACTTAATGATCATAACACTTTTCCATTCCAGCCAAATTTTCTCAAGAAAGCATCAATTCAAATCTAAAATTGTACCTTAAAAGTTATTTCAGCTCGAAAAATAAACCCCAAATCATAAAAAACGAAAGAAAAAGTACGGCACGCAACAAGTGAATATGTGTGTCTCAAGGAAAAAGAAAATCTCAATCTCAATACGAGCACTTTTCTCTTCATTCTTTTCTTCATTGCCGTTTTAACAATGAATGAATGAATGAACAATGACCTTTGATTCTTATCCTACGAAATAGTATTGAAAGGGAGAATAAAAAGGAAGAAAGGTTCACAATCAATAAATTATTGGCGAGAAATGAATGAAGGGAAAAGTTTTTAGTCCATTTTTCAATACGGACAGAGATTCTTGTCAAATTGACAATGAGAGTTAAGTGACTAGAGGCTAGTAATGAAGATATTGATTCGAAATTATTTTTGTGACAAATTGTTTCTATAAAGATGTGGTGCGTGTAAGAAATGTCAAAGTTTAGGACAGTTGACTCACAATTAAATTCCTTCAAACCCCATTTCCCAATTCGACCGCAAAATTTGTCTTGTTTAAAGTGCTGTTCACAAGAATTTTTCACAGTTGTTTCAATTTTAAATTCATCTCCCACTATTAGTTGATTGCCCCTCTGTGTTGTTTTATTAAATCTTTTCTCACAATTTAAACAAAACTTAGTAATTTACTATAGTTTGGCATATAAACTTGAATTTAATTATTAGACATGCATTATTGCTTCTTAGCAATATCAGTAAAGAATGGTAAGTTTCTTAAATAATGCCGCAGCTGCAAACATCTTTCGTTTAAGTTTGTTTTAAAGACTTCTCAAAGGAAATTTATTTTTTTCTATTTACAAGGAAGTTAAAACAAGCTACCGAAAAAAGTCTTTAGGCATCTTTGCTTATAGCTTCAGTGTGATCTATATAGTGAAGTACACAAAATAGCTAATATGAATAGTTTTTTTTTGAAAAAATTTTAAAGTTGTAGAGTTGTTTTAGTCCTTATAGAACAGATAATACTAAAAATCCATTTAATAATCCTAGTCTTTACCTAATTTAGATATTAAGCTATAAAACCAAACCTTAAGAAACTCAAAAAGATCAATTTAAAAGCCTTAAACTCAAAAGGTCAATAACGAATTGTAGAAGCAATTTCAACTCTTTATTCATTCTGCATTTCATGCTGATAACTTTCCTTTCTTCATATCCATCCGTCTAATATTTTCTAACATCGCTAAAGTTTTTCATTTTTCGGAAGTGGAATAAAGCAGAAGAAAACATTGAAAACACTCCAACACGGGGTCGTGCTGTTTATGTATCTAACACAAATACAAACACAACTTCAAATTTTGATTTTATTTTTCACTTCCATCTCTTCCCGTTCCACTGATTCCTTCAAAAATTTTAGCTTAATATATTTTTCCTTTTTCTTCCCCGCACACGACCACCACCCTCATTGTGAAAAACATAAATCTTTTGCTTGTGTATTTTTAGAAAATAATACAACTATACTTATGGATGTATCATCATCATCATTTTTGAGTATACACACACAAAATTGTGTGTGTGTGTGTGTGTGTGTGTGATTGAAACTAGTGTGTACTGAAGAATATCTCGTGTAACATTATTTCTCAAAAAATAATAAGACTTTAAGGAATAATGATAAACAAAAAGACAAAAAAAAACTTAATTTACATTTCCATCATTATTAAATCCTTTTTAGTAAATCTATTTTAAGGAACGGCAACATCAACTAATGAATTTCCTTGAAGCTTCAATCAAAAATTGATTTATTTTTTCTCATTTAACATAAAAATTTACTTATTCACACCTTTCTCGTGCGCCTCTCCGTGAACTTCCTATACAAATTTGCCAGCACAGTCAGTGACTCATGTCGTATCATGGATCTAACGTGTATATAGATTTTTCCGATTAACAAACACATAGACATGCTGGAAAAATTTGATTTTCAAAAATACATAATATGAGAATTTCCCTTGGGGATTTTTTAGCAGATTTTTGTTGGATGTTGTCGGATTTTGGAAGATTTGGTGATTTATGATGGTGTGGATGTGGATTTGATGTAGTTAAATTTTTTGGAATATTGATCTTGTTCTTAGTGCACACAATAACATTGAAAAACTTCTTAAAAAATCGATTAGATCCCGGCAAATTAAATAAAACTTTTCGTAATTACTTGTGGGATTACTAGGAGATTAAGTTTTTTAAGATTCACACAGGCAATTGAGAGTTGTCAATTTAAGACTTATATTCCTTAATTATCATATGTAGATATTTCTACAGAAAGTAATTACTTAATTCACTTTAGGCTAAGATTTGTTGCAATGAAAGTGTTCCTTTATAATGAAAGATTAAGAATTAATGACATAAATGTCATACATGACGTGGATCTTTGTTTTCCGACGAAATTTTCGGATTTCAAGTCTTTGAACCGTATTTACTAGAAATAAAGCTCATAGCTTTTCTTCGTAGCTTGTATGAAATTAGTGGTCCGAAGATCCTCCTATAACCTGAAAGGTGTTCTTCAGGCAAAAGCCTGTGATAATTCAAGAGTCGACTCGAGTCGTAGCCAAAAAGGTTTCAATGCTTATGACTTACAAAATCAAGAAATAATATTATATTAGCAACATATCTGAGCTAAATCTCATACATATCCAACCTAACCTCAAAAAATTTCACCAAAAATAATTCTGAGGGATAGAACGAGATATATGTGCCTGAACATATATCTAAACATAATACATATCGTAAGTGTAGGAGAATGAGTCAAGTTTTACGTTTTATGTGCTTTTAACGCCCCACAATGCTTGATCAAATTAAAATGGGCGAGTACGATGTGGGGCACATGAAGAAGAACGAGAATGCTGGAAGGAGAAGGAAAAAAGGGGGGCAGATGAAAAACGAGGAGGGTAGAATTAAAATGAATAAATTTTACGGGCTGATGGTAGTGTGAGACGATTGTGAGAGTGCTTTGAAAAATGACTCAATTTTCATAGTGGAAGAAGAGTGATTAAAGAGGATTGAGGAGGTGAAAGGAAGCAATTAATTTTTCAACCATTTTCCAAAAACTGTTATGCGCGAGTGAGATGGAGTATAGAGTGAAAAAGAGGAACGAGCGAGCGTGTGTGATGGATTTTT